TGATTTGCAATCGCAAACAAAATGAATGTAATTGCGGTCATTGTCGTGTCAAATCCTTCAAATACAAATGTATCAACCTCTTCTTGCACACCATTTTCATCAATTTGTTGATTTTGTTCTGCCATCAGAAGTGTATCCAGCATAGCATATCTCTTTTTACTATAAGCAGAGTCTTCTTCCTCGTTCGAATTTGTTTTGTTTTGATTCAAAACGAATGCTTTTCTTTTTGTTGCAATAACACCGCCGGTAAATGCATGCACCTGCTCAGTTAACTTTTTTACTTTTGAACCATTTCCAAACAAATTGAAAGTCAAATCAAGTAAGTACCAGGGCACTGCCACACGTTCTACTAGATATTTCCCAATTCTATCGATTTTACTTCGATAATCATCAAGTTCGTCGATTTTTGACAACTTTACACCCATCGCCGATTCTATTTATAATTGTGATATTTATTTTAATCTTTGAATTTTTGCTCTTAATCTGTTTAATATTTATAATAAGAATAGGAAAATTGAAAATTCCTTACGGCAAATCGCATTTAATGTGAATCTGGAGATCAATTTTTGTAAATGAGTGCCTTCGGGTTTGTTGATTTCATTTTCCCGAATTTCTCTCAATAGAATTTCCGTTTGTTCACTGTAATAAAAAATTGATTTACACTTTTGTACCAAACAATACCGAACTGATTCTATTTACTTGAAGGTAGATTGAAACCTCTTTAAAATATTGAAATGAAATGCTGGTGTCAGCAGTTTACGCCGTTCGAGCCATTTTTCACCTGTACTTGTTAGTAGCCCCGTGCCCAGTAAACAATGCAAAAACTTATAGCTTATACTTTTCTCAATATGTTTTGGATTTGTAGCGATTTTCTATTTGTAATTACATAACCAATAGTATTTTATTCATTAAACTTGCGTAAACATTATTTATTTACCAAATATTATTACCTCGAACGAATCAGCTGAATAAATGTTACATACTAGGAGTCCAAATGTCCAATAAAGATAACCTCTTGGAAATTGTTTACAAAGTTTGCTTCCCATTTCATAGAAACTTTCTAAAAAAGACAGTAGACCGGAATTAGCACTAGCATTCTTAGAAAAAATCATCAATAACTCACGCTGAGAAGTCAATAAGAAATTTGTTGACCCAATAATTGGATACATCGGTGGACTTTGTGCTGATTTGGCAAGATTATACGTAGTAAATCGTTTTACTAAGAAGTCTAACAACACCAAAATTGCTGCGATTGAACACAAAATCATCGCCACCGCACAAATCATCTTAATACGAACAATAATTAACTTGCAAAACAATCTACTAGTTCAAAGTGATAAAAACGTACTGTGGCCGCGACCGACACTTACAACGATTTATATTGCTAAGTGCATTGAGAATAATGACGCAGTTGAAGTGTATTACATACAAAATGTTTATATTAAAAATGTTAAAACCGGAATTTATCTTTAGGAAATGAATTATAAGAAATAGTAAGATTGATCAACTTGTTTAACTCAGAAATGTTCAGTGTATTTTCAAGTACCTTTCATTAAATTAAATATAAGTTAGTTTTATTCAAAACTCAGTTGCGTACACATCTTTGTGATTTGTTGATATTTTTTGTGCAAAACTATCCAAGGTGAACCAATCACTGATTGGCAATCAGTAAGACCCTGTGTGGCATCCATACGGACCAGCAAGTGAGGGCAACAATATTTGTGTCTAGAACGTATGGCCGCAAATTTAAACTTCTATTTCAGTATTTTGCAGCAAAATCCACTTGATAGTATGATCTGCAGATCTGAAAAAACATTTGCACTTATTATCCGAGCCTGAACCGAGAAATTTTTTGAGTTTTATAATTTAAAAATGATCATCTATGGCAAATATATGGCTACATAGCCTGTTTTCGATAAATTTTATTTCTTGCACTTAAAACGAAAGGAATAAAAACGGCAAAAAAATGTGTGATTTTCTGATTGATGACTTTATTTTATTTTCTTCTTGCATAGCAAATCTATGATTTTACTATTGCACTAAAAATGAAGAATATGTGCTTTAGCCGTATTATTTGCGTTTTTTCGTTCATTTAAAACTGTTTTTTTTTTGTAATTTTCCAAGGCGCCAATTTAAATTTGTAAAATGCTTTTTTTTTAAATAAATACTGGGAATTCTTCGATAAGAATGTTTTGGAAAAAAGGAAAAAAAACAAATGTTATAGTAATTTATGTTAATTATTTGATCACTACTTTCAACCGTTTATCATAATGGTTTGCTAATATTTTTTTAATGATTTTTCTATTTCGTCTGTAAAAATTGTACGTTTTTAAATCACGTAGCAAATGTCTGGTAGTGAAAATGTTCAGTAAACAAGATTCACATTTTTAGATTTTGGCAACGCCGTTCATTTCGCTATGACAGGTAGGTGCACGTAAAAGGTCTCCATATTGTGAGAGGGCTTCACGAAGCGATCGTGATACTTCAATAGATGTGGTTGTAGTACAGTCGACAAGTAGTGGAAACAGTCCAATCAAATGATCCCAAGCAACTTTGTCCACTAAATTGAAAAATATGAAAAATAATGATAATTTTATATTCCAAAAGAAATAACATTCTTTTCTGCAGTGAAAAATCAAAAGCAATGCTTACATTTAGCCGGTGGTGATTTCTTCATTGAGATAATCAATGTGGCGATTGCCTTCATAACGAATGAGATTTCGGACAAACGATACTTGGGCAATGAGTTTTTTGTACATTGTTTTTCATCTTCGGTGAATTTTCTGAGAACCTCTTCAAAACGCTTCAGCAATGCTGTGATCGCCAAATGACCAACACCTTCCATTGTATCATTTGAATTCGTTGTGTTATTATTTAAAGCACTTGTATCCTTATTTTCATTCGATACAACCGTATCACACAAATCGTTCAGCAGTGAGAATTGAAGCAATGTTTCAAAGCATGTCTTTGCAAATTCTTCACGCAATTTAAGTTCAGCGTCATAGACACTGTTTCGAGCTGTGGCCGAATGAATTGATCCTTTATTCAAAATTGTCACAATATCCAAGACGAATTGATGCGGTATGTGTTCAGCATATGGTAAAATTTCATCGCGTAACATTTCAATGACCTGACAATCGATGGTCTCGTCCAACACGATTTCGTCAATGCCACGATCTTCGATTGTACACACACTTGATGGGAATAAAAATTTATCCAATGTTTCGGACAGTGTTGGCCAAACATCAGCAAATGATTCGGGATATTCTCTGGCTGTAGGCAAACCAACGTGACAAACTGATAGCAAACTTTCAATGGCCAATTTCCATGTGCTTGATGCCATACATTTATATTTCATTGCTAATGGAATCTTTAATGTGTTTATTATCTCCAATAGTATTTGCTTTTCAATCACAACCGAATCACTGGCACACTCAATATAGATTTTTACTGCAACATTTAAAGCCTTCTCACCAAATGGGATGTAATTCATGCTGACCCATTCGATTGTCGAATGATTTTGATTATGCTGATGTTGATTTCGAATCGATTTATAAGGCCTAAACACGAACACACAAAAACATTTGAATTAGTTTGGCTGAAACTTGGTTTAAAAGAAAAGATCAATATTTACCTAGTTTCAAGGCGATCGAATGTTGGTGGCACACAGGCAAATCTACTGAAATTTAATAGCTGACTAAAAATAATTGCAATCATTGGTTTCAATGGGGATGCAGGAGGTAGAACTTCTTTACACAAAATATCCATACAGTCTAGCACACTATCGTGCAGTGGTGTCAATAGTGAATCTGATATCGTTGACATTATGTACGGAGTTGAATCTGAATGAACCGGAACAGCCACCGCATTCATTAAGACCGTACATAATTGCTGTAGATCGTCTTCGGTAAATCTATAGCAGAGAAGAACGAGAAGAAGAAGAAAAGATTTTGTTAGTTATTTCGCGACGAAAAATTCAAATTACATTTGGCGAGGTTATTCCTGCTTCAGCCTTATTTCATTGTTATTGTTGCCGAAGCTGGCACAAGCCAGCCAAATATAAAAACACTACCCCATATTACCTATGCTTAATGTGTTGAAACAATGGGGGAAATATTTGAATCAATGCAGTCAAATAAGCTTGACTTGGAATGAAAATGTCAACATCATTTTTATCGCCAGTTAGTCCAGCTGTTGGCGGTTTTGTGCTCTCACTACCAATTGTTAGCCAAACTTTCCAAGCAATCTGCGAGCAAAAACAAAATGTAAATTTTAAAATTGCACAAAAAGAATCGCTTTTTTCCGAATTTTGGCTTACATTCCAAATGTCCATATTTTCCGTGCTATTAATATCGATTTCTTCAATTGGCAACTGTTTTTCGACATCATCGTCGCGTTCGTTGTTCGATTTATTATATAAAATTTCCTGGAACGATTTTAAAGCGGCTAACGAGACCTCATTGCTTTTGCTGAGTGCGGCATTTTCAATGAATTCCAACAACAATGACCACGCCCGTATAAAATCACCTAATGTTTGTAGCATATGTCGTTTGGTATTAAATACACGCGATACTCCTGACAGTGTTAACACTTGCGTTTCGGCCCATTGCTTTTGAGCCGTATTACGTGAATGATGAATTAAAATATTCCCAGTGGTATCGACTTTTTCACTGCTTGCCGAACTCGACAAACTTCTCACTTTATCCAATAATGGAAATAAAACTTGCCACAAAACGGATTGCCATGTCGGTGGCATTAGCAGATTACCATGCGCCGAAACAGTTGAAAATAGCGTTTGTCCAGCGGATTTGCGTACAGCTGGTCGTGAATCAACACATAAATCGCCTAGACGAGCAAATAAACACATCCATAATTTGTCGAAATGTGGAATATTCAATGTGCCAGGGAAATCGGGTAATACTGTTTGATCTTCGGAAACAGTTAGCGATAGTTTATCCTGATTTTGATTGAAATAGTCGGAAATGTTCCACTGAAAAATGAAAAGAAAAAATGAAATTTTTTATTGATATTGAAATTTGAAAAATGATTGAAAAAAGAAAACTAACCATTAAACCGACAGCCGTCAAAGAAATATTCAATTCTTGCATTTGAGATCCGAATTTAGCGGCTGTATTCACACATAATGGCAAACATCGCCAAGGCATGACAGGCAAAAAATCGGTCACAACCAACTGTAAACACTGGAATGCAATTCGAATCAATGCTTCACCATGGCGATCGTTAACCGCTCCAATAATTCCCAATACCAGCGGCCAGCCATGCGTCAATGTTTCACCGGCCCCATTTAATATTTGTAAAACACATTCTAATTGTCGTTGTCGTACATCACCATGTGGTACTGACGACAATTCAGCCAACGGATTCAATAGCAAAGTTTGCAAAGACTATTTGTGAAAAGAATAAATAATTTGAACAAAAAAAATCGTTTTTAAATTATTCTGTTCCAACTGTGTTTTATATTTATACTTACCATATTATCCTTGAGTGGTGTTTCGTATTTATATTGCAGTGCAGCTTTTACGAGATACGTTACTGCTTCAACGCCCCATTCACGCATTCTAATATGTGGATGTTGGCAAACTTCCAGCAGATGATTTGTCAATGGACGCCAAAGTACTTCAATACGAGGTAGATTCACTAAACCTGTTTCCAATAGCTTTGCAACAGCAAATAATGATGGTTCCTGCATGAAAAAAAAATAAATTTAAAATTCATCCCTTTTCGCCGCAACAAACAACATTTCATTCGTTTTGTTCCCTTCCAAATAATGTCGCTATTTTCGTACCCGATTTGAATATGCCAGTTCCATTGCTTCTTGTGACAATTTGCACAGTGCATCGATTAAATGGTGTAATGCAACATCGTCCAAGTACTGACTAGACTGGAACAATTGACTCAGCATTTGTGATAGAACTGGTAAATCGGCCATAACTGATGTTGTTATTCCGGCTGTTGTATCGGTGGATAATTTTGGCACAACCTGTAAACTACCGCCAGTCGACGGTTTCAAACCCAAAATCCACACTAAATGTTGAAGAGTTGCGAGTACAATGTGCCAAGATGTACCCAAAATACATCCATGACAATGAGCCAAATGAAGCATTGCACGCATACATTGTAAATTCTTTGCTGTTAACATGACCGGACCTTGTTGAGCACCAATCGGTAGCGATGATGTTGGCAATGGCGTTCCAACCGCTACAACTTGATGACGAAAATCATTTTCACCACATGGTGATGCCATGTATTGATGATTCAAATCTTGACTCGGAGAACGTGAATGAGCTACGGATAAAAAATGGTAATGCAAATATTTATTTCATGTTCGGTATTGCATTTTTTGTAAAACATACTTATAATGCCCGAAAATTGATAGCCCATATTCAATACAGACAGTGCATAATGAGGAGGTAATGATGATCGACAAATTGCTGTTATAAATGCATCTCGCGGTGTTTGAATGTCTGCAAAACAAATAAGGTAAGCTTGGTATATAAGTAAGTTAACATCGATTTTGCGAAAATATTACCTAATGTTCCACAAAGAGCCGCATAGTTTTGCATGGCTTTTAAAACATTTTCCGTAACCGACTCATCGGTCGCAGCATCAATTAAAGGTGTCAAAGCGGCCAAAAGACCACACCAACTTGAATTAACCAACTGACCATGTAATTGCTTTTCCGCTTCGCCTACGCTATCTTTATACGGTGCGGGGTTTTCTTCACCAAGCTATAAATTTGAATGGTAAATATTTTATTTTAAAAACTAAATCCATGTTACTATGAAATTTCGATAAATACTTTCGTTGATTTGGGCCAAATTTGACTAGACAAAAATGACATAGCTTACCTTTGATGGTCCAAGAACAGCCAATGAAATTGATCGAACAATATCTAAAAGGCAAGCATATGCTACCGAAATGCCAAATCCATCGGGTATTGGAGGTGGTTCGACCTTGTCAAGCATCTCCAAGCTATTCAAAAATTACAAAAAAATAAAAACTACCCTTTTTAGCGGCGCATAAAAAACTTACAATGTAGATTTCGATTGTCCGGTTGGAAAAGTGACGACAAGCGGTAGCCACACGCTTCTGAATAAGAACCCAGCTTGTTGTGATGCGCCCGGAACCATTGGCAATGTGCTCATCATAGGTAATGTTTGAGTGGGTGTTGCAATTGCTAGAAGTATTCAAATTGTATGTTTAAAAAAAAGTGTCAAACTCAAAATGAATGATTTCATACCATTAACATTGGTGTTATGTGTTGGTGCAAATAGACTTTGAACGTATGCACCCAATGAATTGATGATGTCTTGAAAAATGTTCGTAGCATGATCTTTTAAATCGTAACATTGACAGAATGACACAAGCAATTCCGGTTGAACGGTCATTTTGTGAATGACTTCAAGTGCCAATGAGCGTTGCCACGACGGTTTATCGGGATCCAAGAATTTTACGATTAACGACAGAAATATTTCGCATTCAGTCACTAAAAGTCGATGATATTTCTGAATTAGAATTGATACGACGCGCAACAAACGCATGCTAATTGGAAAATACGGTTTGTCTAGTGCGACTGGCTGTTGTGGATTTGTCTGAACGACGGTACGATATTTAATATTGGGTGAAAAAAGTTTAATCACAAGAGCACAAACGCGCTCTTTCAACAGGAACGAAAATTCGGGATGATTAAAGAAAACCGATGGAAATGTTGTTAAAACCGTTTCAAGCAGTTCCAATCCAAATGTTCGTGTCATTTCGGTCATGCCAACAAGCCAAAATGGTTGATCAGCATTGACCAGCTGAACTAAGTCTTGAAAAAGTAAAAACGCATCGGCCCCACAAATTTTTAGACCTTTTGGCGCTTGACCCGGTGCTTGTTTTAACTCTTCAATGTTCACCTCTTGCAATGATTGTTCTGCCGATGTTGATGGATCACATTCTTGATCCTCCATAATGACACGCTCAAAAACCAATGAAACTAGCTGCCGTACCGTTGCACCGGCCGTATTTATCGTTGTCGAATCTTTTGTAAAATGCAACCGAAAGCATAGGACAAGCGCTTTGGCCAATGTTTCGCCATGCACGATGCTATTTGTTGTGAGCAACAATGTAACCGTTTGCAAGACTTTAACTTCTTCGGTGCCGTGCTCCATTAACATCCACAATGTATCGGTTATGTAACGGGCACCCTTTTGATCGACTACTTGTTGTGTGATTAATCGTTGCATCATTCCAAGGCAATACTGAAGTGGCATAAAAAAAAAACCATTATGTATGTATGATCCATTTGGGTTCATGAAATAACGATAAAAATAGCAATTTTCATATTGGAGTGATACGAACCTTGATAATTTTCACATCTTTCGATTCACAACCCTGAACTAGAGCATATAAAATTTGATTCACGACATAATAAAGTTGAGTGGATGGAGTCGATGAAGCTGCTTTCAATTTTATTATTGCTTCTTCACATGACTGCAATGGGGAAAAAGAAACGTGAATATGCACAATATGAGCAAAGAAAGAAATGCACAAGAAATTGAAAAACAACTGAGAATCGTATAAAAGTAAGAAAAGTGCCAATTCTTTTTTTTACAAAGAAATTGATATATCATCAGCATATTTTCTATCAGTACGAACCTCTTTGATTTGTGGATATTTTTTCTTTGTTTCGTTGGCCAATATACGGAAATCATTTTGCAAAATTTCCAAAAATTTCTGTACCGCTTCGTTACTTGAAGTGCCGCTTACAAACGACATGATTTCACACTTTTCTTTGTTCTTGGATCGATTTAAAGATTGTCTCACTTACTTTTACTACTTTAAAAAAAACATTGATTTATCTCCGATTTTTAGTCCTTAAAAAATCCTAATTGAATTTGGCTTTTAATTTGTTCGAAACTTGCGATGATTAAGATTGCGACGTGTCTTATTCAGATTTGATAGTCATGCAGAATCCGGAATCGTTAATGTCAATCACTAGTTGTATTTGTTGTTGTAGACAGAAAAAAATCAACTTCACCGATTCGACGAATACAAAACACTACAAATTGAACACGATAGCCGTAAATTTCACAAATTATTGTACACGTAGCGTAAAATGCATAAAAACGAACAAACAATTGAACAAATAATTGGACACACAAAAAAATACAATTATTCTGCAATTCACTCCATTATTGTCTATGCTCAGAATAGTGGATCCATATGGTTTTTGTCATCTCATTCGATTTGCACAGTTTTGCCAGTGCAAATATGGTATTGAATATTTTCACCTCGACTTTGTTGCCAATTAATAATGTTACAGTTTATGGTGTAACACACTTCACGTGAATACATTACAAAAGCACACACGAAATACTTTTTTTATTTTGTTGGTTGAACTATTAAGACGGTTTTTCCCAAGAGCACAATTACTCTAAATATTACAAGAATCAATTGAATTAACTATTATCGATTTCCAAGATAAACACCGCATTTTTTGCTTTTGTGTAACATGCGTTTTATGTTGATATCACAATTTTATTTCGTTTTTGTTGTGATTTGCTCTCTTCTACGAAAACATATTTTGTATACGCGTCCCAATAAAAAAGAAAATAATAAGAGCAAAATTGCTGTCAAAATTTACAATTACATTTGATAAACGTCAGAATGATGTGTCTTGTGCGCACTGCCCATATGACATCTGGATGTCAATGCAACAACTAAAATTGTAAACAAACCAGATTTTCTTATGTGACATTCATTTAATCCAATAGACATGTGAGAGACGATAAACAGATAGACAGAGAAAGATAATATTCGAGAAAGTAAAACGTTTTTTCACTTGAAATTTATTTCGATTTAAACATTATTCAATGAATGTGGGACAGATAAATGTGAATGTAACAAAAATAACTATATATATGGCTTCATTTCTTGGAGAAGAAGCTTAGAATTGATCCTTGTTTCTTGCCATCCTGTGGTGAGATTTTCTTCTTTGTTGTTGCTGCCGTACTTTGATTCATAGTTGGAGCAGGTTTTTTCGGTGGTGGTGCTGTCACTTCGGCCTCTTCTTCTGAACAACTAACCTCCTCCACTTCTTTAACCGTATCTGGAATGGACAAATCATGGAATGCGTTTAATTATTTCACACTTTTTCATAATCAAAAATACTTACTAACGAAACCGTCTTCATCTACGTATGTTTTTGTAATAGTTTTCTTAACTTTAGCGCGATGTTTACCTAAGAGTTGATCAGAAGAAAAGAATGGAAAAAATGGAAATTAATCAATGCGTAATGGATCGGAATGGAAAATGAATCGAAGGAATGGATCAGGAATGGTAGAGTAATGGAATAGTAATTTTTAAGTAAGTATGCCTCGACGTTTACCGCTTGAGCTTCCATTCGGCGTTCCATTGCTTTTCGTTTTTTCCGGTGATGGTGTTTTGTTTTCTTTTTCTTTTTTTACGACTAATTCCTCGTCATCGATGTCCATCGAGCGATCTTTATTGTTCGACGCTTCGTCTTCTTCGGAAGATGAATCGCAAAGTTGCATCAATCGTGAATGTTTTGATTTTTGTTCCAATTTTGGCTTCTTCTTTGTTTGTTTCTTTTCAGTCGCTTTGAAATCATCATTCGAATCTGTGGAAATGAACAAATCCTTTAATAATGTTGAACAAAGACTTTTTTTGACATTTATCAACTTACCGCTTGCATTCGAATGAGGTCTCTTCTGTGTGGCTTTCGTATCGTTTGTTGTATTCACATCAACTGGTTCATCTTTGATTTGAACTTTTTCGACTTTGACTGTTGCATCGGCAACTAATTTGTCCGCCTTACTTGCATTCGACGATGTGGGTTTCGATGCGAAAAATGAAGAGATTGATGATTTTCCTTGTTGTGCCTTCGATGGTGGTTGTTTCTTTTTTGGGCTCGATTGCTTCGGGCTAACTTTTTCCTCTTTTACTTTTGCATCTTTGGAGCTGCTTGCCGAATCAGGTTTGGCCTCTTTCGATTGTGACGCTTTCGATTGGAATGTCCCAAATGGATTGGCTTTTTTGGGTGGTATTACCTCTTTCTTTATCGATTTGTCAACAATGATTGGATTCACTTTGATATTTCGTCTAGCGCTCTTCAATTTCAAACTGACGCTGTTTGGAACGAAACAAAGAAAATCGATAATTGTACCATTCAAAAACGGGATTTCAAAAAGACAATTTAACTTACTATTTGTTCGATGCAGGTTCAGTGATATTCAAACTTTTACCATTTAGACTGCCAATTTCAATACTGTACAATATCTTGGTGAATTTTGGGCACATCTTTTCAACTTTCGATAGATTCTTTTCGGAAACGACCTATATATTCCACAAATGAACATTGAGAAAACAATTAAAATATTGGTCGAGTCTGAAATGAATAAGAATGTTGAAAAAAATGTTTGTCTCACCGTAATAATCACATTGCCATTCAAATCGACACCACGAATCAAGTATTCTTTTGCAATTTTTCTGTCACCCGAGTAGGTTTTGAGCCATTTCTCCAAAATAATCTCACCATCTTTATTTGGCACATTCCAATTATTGGAGATAGTAACAAGACTAACCTGTTGACAATACACAAAATGCATGAATATAGTACAGTAATTTCGTATCATAAGCATAAGACATGAATTTTTCCACAATAAATGTATGACATACAAACCTTTTTGTCAGTGTCGAGTATCAGATGATCGATTTCTTCTAAGCACAATTTTTCCGTTTCGGTGTCCATTCTGATGAAGATTTTGCAAAAAAAAATGTTCTAGAGAACAAACCAAAAACGAATTCAATTTATACAAAGCGTCGTGAATACATTTGACATGTTCACAATACAATATTAGCGCGAGAAGTGTCATTTTCCCGCTTGAATATTGTTTTATTGTCAATGGCTTATTTGCAGTGCCATCTACTGTAAATGTCAAAAACATATTTTCAATCAAACGTTAACCTACCATTTCATTTGAGAAAAATTATGAGAACAAAATTATCATGATTTTATTCATCGCATTAGTTTAGTTAGGCACATACAGACACAAATGAATACATTCAAAATTACATTTTTCCGTTAAAACGATGATAGAGAAATATATCCGTGAACAAAATTTTTTAGACAGCATATAACAATTTAATCAGTTAATAATCTTTTTCTTTTTTTCATCGAGGCTTCTTATCGTCGGATGTGTTCTTCACCTTTGATTGTGAGTAGGGAATTTTATGTTTACGTTTCAGGGTGGATACGGCCAGTTTTAAAACAAAGACACAGATCAATTTAATATACGAAAATGTAATTAATCATTCTCGAGTATCATATGATCGATCTCATTCAAACACATTTTTCATTCTCATTTGTCCAAAAAGCTGAAAAACGAATTTAATATTTAAATGACGTCTTAACATACTACTCGCATTCAAACGTAATTTTTTCACTTTAATTTTGTTTACAGTGAGTGGTTTGTAACGCCATCTGTCGAACATATTCTAACTGAGAATATCTATTGCATTCCATTACATTGAAATTATTTTGAAGTAAAAAAACGACTAGTCAGCATAATAATTTAAAATATGTAATTTATTCATTGAATTAATTGATATTAAAAAAAAAAACAATTGAAAATCAAATAAATTCGAATGTTTAAAAGACAGTACTTGTCTACGTGCTTTAAGTTTTGATAATAAAAACTTTATGGCTACGCGTTAGTTGTTGTTGTTAGTGATGTTTTTGGCACAGTTTCATTTAAATTCTTTCCTTTTGTCTCCTTGAGTATAAAAATACTGAATAAAATGCCATAAAAGCAAACACCAGCACATATCCACGAAACGCCATACAAATGAACCGAATGCATTAATATTGGAAATGTCTTGAGTGAAATGAATGCGAATATGCTGTTGGATAGCATGCAAAGCATTGAGCCGAATGTCCGCACCTGTGAAATTAAAAATTCATCATCAAAATTCATTTCGGTGAACGAAAGAAGTGAAATGAGCGAAGGAGTAGACGAAGAAAACACAGCGAACAATTGCAAACAAAAATTAATAAAAAAAATGTCACATTTTTCATATAATCCGTCAAAATGATTATTTTTTCTTCTGCTCCGTTTCACGTACCTCAGCCGGTAGAATTTCACACAAAACTATAAATGGCAACGGTAGAATTCCAAAGCATGAGATGAAAACGAACACCGAAAAGCTAATCAATGGAATCCAATTAAATGCACTTAAATCGCAACCATGTTCGTTCAGATATGAATAAATTCCCAACGACATAAGTCCAATGAATGCACCAGATGTTGAAAATATTAGCAACGTTTTACGGCCAATGCGATCCACTAACAGCGTTGAGCCCCACACACCGAGTATTTGAATGCCAGCTACAATAATTGATGAAACATTTGGATCCATGGTAGAGCCAGACTCTTTGAAAATATTTGCTGTATAATTTATCATGGCAAATGTGCCAGAAAACAAATTAATAGCGGTCAATGAGAAACCAATTAAAATCGCTTTAATCGCATTCCATTTAACTGTAAATGTAAATGACATAAACAAAAAAATAGATTATTTTCTATCATAGATCTGCACCAAATAAAAAATTATTATCGTTTGAACAATTTGAATAAATAGCAAAATTGTGGCAAATATTTGGAACAAGGGCACAACTTTTTACATTCGTTACAAAGTTTTTACTTACAAACGTTTTTGAATACATTTTTGCGATATCGTTCATTTTGATTCAAACGTTCATGCACTGATTGTAGAATTTCGGTAAATTCGGTATCGATTTGCGTGCAACGTGTTCGTTCTTTACAACAGCAGTCCCGGTAAAAGCTTAGTGAATATTTTGCTTTCTATAGCAATACAGTTGGCAGCGCACAGCAACAAAAATAAAATGAAAAGAAAGAGAAATTTTATATAAAAAAATGCGATTGCATAACACATTTTTTTCTCGAATGATGATATTTTACATCAAAATGTTTGCGTTCTATAAAGTATTGTGGAGTTTCCGGGAAAAAAATAAATGAAGCAAAAAACACTATCGGAAGTGGTAAAAAGATTTTTGGCACCAGATAGTATGATAAATATGTTCCAGCGATGAAACCAAATAAAATACCAATCGTTACGTTCAGCATTAACAACGAAGCCAGTCGCCCCCGAATTCTGCGTTGTTTTTTAAAATGACAAAAATCCATGACGGTTATATTTAATTAAATCACAGCGCATCACCATGACAATGTGCATGTGGTGATGTTAAACAAGTCAGATTGTACTCACCTTTGATCAGCAACCTCAGCCACAAATAATGGCAAACAAATGTACATACCACCACCTATCGCAGAGTCAGGCAAATTGATAATCGCGATAAAAGAAAATAATAAACGTATTAGTCATGACTACTTTTCTCGACTAATTAGCCATAATCATTCTCAGTAAATCACTGGCTTGACTAATTAGTTGTTATCAAAAGAACATTATTTAATCGTAAAGATTTGATGGCCTAAAGTTTGGACACTATAATACGATACTAACGTTATTTAAATAAAGTTTTAAAAAATAATAATCAAGTTTTTTTACTAAAGCCGGACTCTGACCTGTCGCACCAGCGAATATTCGTCCAATGTATAAATCCACCGCATTATGTCCGTACAATACCAGCAACCAAAACAGCTGGAAGCAATCATAAAATTATGGTAAAGATTAAAATCATGGTTATTTTGATTCGATAAATAAAATATAATGCATGTAGTATGACACTTATAAAGCGTTTCTCTTTATAAGCCCAAAAATGAGATGATATAAGAGCTTCCAAATATTATGATCATCATTTTAGTACTTAACTATGGAAGAAATTATAATTCATAATCAAAAACAATGATGATCTTAATGACGTACAATGGCACCATACCCCATTGGTCGTTAAATACACCTGACGCATTTTGAAATGTGTCGAAGAGACAAACAATCCGAATTGCTACATTTAAATCCTATTAGTTTGAAAGCTGTTAAATCGAGGGCGAAAGAATTCGGTTGAAATGACCATTTGACAAGCGATAAATTGCTTTTGTGTCTAAACTATACGTTAACTTATCCCTTCTTTTCTGTTATTTTTACGTTTTCTCCCGTGTGGACTTTATATACTACATAACTTTTCGTATGCCATTTGAATAAATGTACGAAAAAGACGTATGCTTTCCAATGTCTGTTTGGGATATGTTGGAAACAAATGTAGCGATGCAATTTCAAAAGTGTTTCGTTTCAAATATGAAACAATCAAACAGAATTCTTTTTAAAAAGCATTTGAAGGAATGGATTCAAAAAGTATTAGATAAAACGAGACTTTTTTCTAGCATTTTTTTTAGTTACTTAACACAGACTCATGTTTACTACAATATAACATCATTTTCGGCCATGTTCACTTCATACGATAAAAAAAATTATCATGACCTCCAAAAAAATGAAAAAAATTTCTCTTTAATATCCTATTTTAATTGTTATATCACAATAAAATAAAATCATCTGCATTTTCCCACGAAATTGTTTTCAATTTTGACACGAGTTCTCAATGGTATTTATTTAACATATCCGTTACGGAAAATCTCATGAATGCTCATATATATTTTTTCAGTTGCAAAACAATAACCAAAATTCAACACTATTCAATGTTTATGTAAACTTTATTATTGCCCATTTAATTTTTTTGCTGCGTTGGTCACGAGTTTTTTCTCCACACATTTTTTAATCAAATTGGTTTTTCAATGTACCACAGTGCATATTGTGGTGTAGACAATTATTGTTGGGATGCTTGAAGTGAATTTTTGGTATGTTTAATAAAGTGGAAAAAAAACCGTTCCAAAAGCCAATGTTCTGGATGCAATGCATCCGCTTATTGCCATTACTTCCACGAATGATGACTTTATCCGTATCCGTAGTGGATAAGGATATACTTTTTAGTCGCGTACATCAAATTAACCCTGGAAGATGGCGGATATGGAATCTAAATTTTTTTTTGAAGTTTTTGACATTAACTATTAAACTTTTTGAAATTGTTCTTATTCATTCCGCTGAATTGATGTTGTTTTGCAGTCCATTATTGTAAACGTTTTGGAAATTTTTTGAATATCTGGAAATTTAAATCGTTTTTGCAGAAATACCAAATATTTATCTTAGAGCTGAGACCCATTCACATATTTTCATGGATACGGATAATTATTTTATCCATGAAAGTAGAAATACTGACGAATATATTGAGACTTTTTTACGGATACCGATCCAACGGACGTGCAATTCATTCATATTCGAAAGCTGATGCACACGATTAAAATGTATGGATATCTTTATCCGTGGCGGATACGGATAACGTCATCATCCATGGGAATAATGACAGTGGGCCACGTATTTTTGGGGTGTAAAATTAATTTGTAAATGTCAAAAAACTGTTCAATTTCCTACTCATTACGCACATATTTACCGCGCAACCAAACAGATTGTATCGTTTTTTTTACGAATTTACAGCATTAATCGATTACATTTTATCAAGTACAGCTGTTTCAATGCACTCATTGTTGTTTTTATTTCGTGTGATTATGAATCACAAATTTGACAGAATAAAAAATTATAATTGTTATTTATAAAGAGACAATTACGATAGATTATTATTTTTCAATTTTCGCATTTACAAATAATAAAAAAATATTGTTGTTTTTTTGGCTTATCAATTTCATTATGACTTGAAGAGTTCATGCTGATGAAAATCTCGTTTTTTAATCAAAGCAACACAGTGCACACCAGCAACAATGCACTGAACGCGCACATGATAGCTTTATTGTGTTGAACGCATAAAAGTTTGCACATGAAACCACGTCGCTCGAGCAGAAATGATGCAATAAATTTCCATTAAAATTAATCAACCAGTTTCGTGTTAGACCGAGAAATAAAATGAAAAGAAACGAGATAGAGTGGTATGGAAATGTCGAAAATTTCTTGGTTTGTGCATAATATGCACTGCATATACACTTATTAGGTGGCCTGCAGCATTAAAAAAACACTCCGCAAACTCCTTGTGATGATTTGCATTTGGGATACATTTGTATGCGTATTTTTTCTATTCATTCTCAGAATACTCATGATTGCAACACCAAAATCCAACACAATTTGTTTATCGTATCGCCTGGGTTTGGCCAAGTGCCAAAGTAAACGAAATCAAAACTTATATTCAAGAGCAACACGACCGCATGGGAAAAAATATGTCAAGTCATACTTCGTGCGACAGAAAAAAAGTCATGCCGGCTATAGTACGAACACATTGTAGGGAATACCAAAAACAGTACCGCATATTACGATGACGATGAAATTTAATATGCTATTTTACTATCGTGTAGGGGTGCACAATTTACACACACACACAACAAACAAAAAGTAAAAATAGTGCAGACAGAAGTGTTTAGATGCAGTACACTTGCAGATATGAATCTATTTACCAGGTTTGGAAGTGCCAATATACAAAGTGTATTTTTTCGTCCGATATAATTCGATATAGTGCCAAATATACAGTTTCCTAGAATGGCACCAATTGAGAAACAGGATCCAAGCCATGACGCGGATGATAGTGACATTCGTCCAGTATCTAACGGTGAATCGTCGGATTGCAATTTCGGCAGGTTGGGACTCAGCCAACCAATTGCCATGCCATGGCACAGACTAATTATATTCGCTATTTTAAACACATGAAAAAGAGGAAAAAGAAAGCACATTGAATAAATAAACTGTTTTTTTCTTATTTTGTAATTGAATTAATTCAAATGAACACAAACAAAATATTTAGAATGTTTCCCATGACTTTTGCACTGCACAACGCAAAACGTAACAAAAATATAATTAAATGAAATCAGTTGAAAACGAAAATGTATGTAAATTGCACAAAGAAAAAAAGAGCAACATTTTCATTTTTTGCAAATGAAAGCAACTCGACTAAACGCACCAATTATAACAGCCAAGTACTGAAATCGTACGCTATGCATAATGACCGGCTCGTTTTCTTTGAACATACTGGCAACGTGTGTATTTATATTCAGAAGTTAATCAAATTATTTGCGTCCGACGAAATGTCGCTCACAATTCACTAACGAATTACAATTCACATGCAAAATAATTATATTTAGAAAATTGAATTATAAGAACGAACGCCACTGACAACAAACGACAAAAGAAACGAATATAATGACGAACGAAGCGATTTGAACGAAAAACAAAATCGATCTGATGTTGATATCAACGAATAACGAAACTGGCGACCGAACCAAACGAGAACAAAAGCGTTCAATTTTTGATAACGTCCGCGTCGTCGTTCATTCTAAAATCAACTGGCAATTAAGTATCCCGAAATGAATAAATATTTAGCAGTAGACAATATCAGAGCATAGCGGCTAGTCTTCATAATAAAACACGCTTCGATACAACGAAAAAGACCTTAATTTAACGAATCTATAATACACGCACAACAACAAACGAAACTGCTGACGTCTTCAATTTAAAAACGAAGTAATTTTGCATTTTCTTTTCTTTCTCACATTTCATTCATGATGTAAACAGAAGGCGATATTTGTTTGCACTTTTTGATGGGTGAATTAAACATCATAAAACAGATGATATTTAGCACGCGATCAAAACAAATCACAAACACTGATATCGCCGCTACGCTCACATTACAATGTTTTTGGTATGGATTATTGACAAAAATAAAGCAATAATTTCTTAAATATCCAATTCTAAAACTTAGGTCACCGCCAAAGTCGTTGTAAGTTACTTTTACAATTTCGATAAGATTTACAATGTTTGAGTAAATGATATAAAATACTGACGAATCATTTCGAAAACAATCGGCCCGAATAAGATCTCTCTCTCTCTCTCTCTCTCTCTCTCTCTCTCTCTCTCTCTCTCTCTTCCAAATTACGTGCAACTATTGTTGTACAACTTCATATTTGTCACAATTTTGTAGGCCAAATCAATGAGACAGAGATCGGTGCATCTTTACATTAGTAGAACAAGTTATTCAAGCTAAGATAAGATATATTTTTCATGTTTCAAAACAATCCAAAGCTATTTAACATTTGTTCTGCTCTGTTTCAGGTCAGAATTGCCGCCAGTCAATACCGAAATTCGGTGAATGAACCAGGGCTGATTTCATCATCTTTATATTAGACATATAACATACGTAGATCTATCGCAGTAATTGCTATTAGAATGAGCACGCGACAAATATATCAATAAATAATGTCAATAATTATGGGTATCTATGCACTTGGTAATTTAAACCAATACTGGTAGTCCCTGGAATAAATCCACTGAATGCAGTCACAATTCAGCAATCACTTACTGTTCTCGTCGAGTCAATCAACTTTGTTTCTTTCGTTTTGAAATGATTGATATGAGCATACAATAATAATTGAACTTCCGACGAAAAAAAAAACAAACAATGAGAAACTCAAATAAGATCAATACGAATCTTGTTGACCAAAAAAAGCGCAATCGCTGTTCCCCATAAGCTGAAAAATACTGCCCGTCAATAAAGTTCAACAGAAAAGAAGAAAAAAAATTGAAAGTAAAACTTTGTTTGCAACTGGAAATGGGAAAAGAACAAGTTCGATAGCACAAAATGTAGAATTTCATTCATTTTGGATGACGATTACACAAAGAAAAAAAAAATTCCAACCAATTTCATTCGCTCATAGAACTGGTATACTTTTTCTTTCTTATCCGGTAACAATGTTATGTCATTTTAATTAAGCGAAATGATGCTTGTGAACTGTATGTCCAGGCTATGTATGTGTCGGAATTTTGTCGTAAATTTTATTTCAATCAGGAAATGGAATGAGTTTGCTGAAATATTCACTGAAATATTATTCAGCCGATTTCATTTGAAAAGTTATTGAAGTAATTAAGTTATACAATACTTATTATTCTGGAATATGCATGATAGAGCGCAGATGTTTGAGATTAAGATTATTCAAACTATATAAAATTGTCTTTAAAAAAAATGCAAATTTTCATGAACGTTTCATTAAATGCTTTAGTTTTGATAATGCGATAACAATAGCATGTCCATTACTCTATTGATATTGTGATTAGTTTTAATTTATGATTTTTCATAAAAAATAACAAACTGCTTAACCTTTAATGTAAGCAATTAAAATCTTAACATTTGCAATAAGAACTTTTTTGTTTTGATTGATATTGTTACGTGCGTTCGCACTCTCGCAGCGTATCTATCGCAAGCACACTATGTTTAAGAATTTTTCAATGTGCTGTGAAATGCAAATGAAAAGCGCAATTGAGCACTTTCAAAGTGTCTGGAAGAATTTTGCACATAATAAATTTTCTGATGATTGCTTGAATTAAATTGAACATTGTTTTATACACACACACACACACAGAGAGAGAGAGAGAGAGAGAGAGAGAGAGAGAGAGAGAGAGAGAG